TGACCACATGCTCACAATCCTAGCGTAGATAGCGTTATTACTCCATGTTATTAAAACAGTAGTTGACTGATCACATGTGTCCCCAACTAAACCATACTCCAAATCCTAAATAACTAAGGAAAAATGAAACATGTATCACACAACCAATAAGACAAAAATAAAATTCTACCTCAGCTATCGTCCATTTTAGACAAGAAAACCTCCTTTGAACTCAACTTGCAAAAATTGTTTCACAAAATCTCCTTTTATAGTTTTGTAGGTAATCATCCAACCTCGAAACCTATCCGTTCAACATAGCTTAAAAGCAACATTCGTTTGCCTAAGTAAATTCCAAAAGGCTTAACCCTCATTCTCCTTATACGCGGAACGCAAACCGTCTATCATGGCTTTATAAAGCAACTTAGAACGTCACAACCTAATCCCCATAATCTCTGAAACGTGATATAAAATCATTCTTCGTTCTGATAAGAACTCCTGAAGAGTACTTTTTTATCTATCTCCATTACAGATGATACAAAAATTTAACTATATGTAGATTGGTTCACACCAACTCTACTAGTATCATTCACCGTACTACTGGTGAACAAGATCACCCTCATGCGATCCCTCATCTTCAAGATTTAGTATCATCTTCCTTGGATACGCTGAAATCTCCTCCGATAGGATCCTCTTTGAACTCCTACTCTTCGCTTGTCTCCTTTGTGAGAACAACTGAAGTTGTGTTGGCCCCGATATGCTGTGACCTAACACCTACACCTTAATCCTTCCTTGGCTTATACTTTCTAAGTAATGCCAACTCCGAAACTAAACCTTCGATCCCAAATTCTGCTTCTGGCAAAGAACTCGATAACGTACTCCTTAACTCCTTTGGGTCTGTATCGCTTTCGCCTCGGACCCCATCCTTCTCCTAGTGTCAACCATTCCATAACTATGGAATTTTAATTGACATCTGCTCCTCCTAACGAACTGTAAATAGAGTACAACGAATCCTAATATGGCTCTAAGTTTTAAGAGACGCAACACGGAAGTCCTATAACGAAAGACACTCCTAAGGACACTTGAACCTGGAGTGCTCTGATACCAACTGTGATACCCCCAGATTTCCGGATGCGGGTTGGCCAGTCCCACGCCCGATTACCTGAGGATATCAAACCAATTAGTAATAAACGAACACAGAATACAATTACAATAAAAAGGAATAAATAAAAATTCCTGGAAGAAAACTAAAATGATAAACCCAAAACTTAATCCTTAGAATAAAATTTTATAAATAAAAAACTATTTTGATACATCCAACTTTTCTATTTCTAATACAACTCGGGAATCCATCTGGTGGACTCCTAATAAAAATCCAACACTAACAAACGAACAACTGAAGAAAATCCAATGTTAAACCATGAAGAAAACTCCTACGTCATCAGAAGAATGAGTAACCGTTTTTGCTCAACACGAACAAACTCTAAGACATGGAACCGTCCGTTACCTGAAAAATAATAGTGGGTCAGGCCCACGAACAAGTTCTATCCTAACTACAATCCAAACAGAGACCCGATACGCAGATACATCCTAGATATCTTAACCATATCTATATAGTCCGTAAATATATATATATATATATATATCCATATTATAGGACTCTCACTAAACTACAATGGGGGTCTCAACCTGAATAGAAGGCAACATGCAAAAACACACCCAAATGTGGGTATGAGTACCCAGACCTAACAGGGTATACATCAACCATCATAACCAGTTACGCATCCCAACGCATATACGCTCCCTAACCAAAGATCCTGAGACTCAAGCTCATATCGCGATCTCATAAATTATATATATAAATTCCCATCCAAATCAATGTAGTGCCGCTCAACTGTTCGTTGCCAAGACACGACATAAAATTAGGATTTAAATGTTTTAATTAAACCCATTTCCTTCATAATACAGAAATATAAACAAACATTCAATATGTCGTTCAACTGTTTTAGTTGACAGGACATGCAACCATATAGGATTTAACTATTTTAGTTAATCCATTCCGTATATATGAATAGGCAGGAATTAGCGTTTTGATCTAATCCGTCCCCAATATGCCACCGTCCCATACCTGTGCATATAATGCATATGATCCGTAAATGATGCAACACTTCAAACAGTATATCAAATAAAATCCACATAATCCATATAGTTGATAACAACAGATTTAACCAGTTCATCAACTAAACTCCAAAATAGCATCCCTGTAATTGCTAAAACATTATCTAATAGTCCAGCAATTAGAATCCAAAGCATTTAATCCACGTAATTGCAGAACAGAGTTTTAATATCTCAGCAATTAAAATCTAAAGTAAACATAAAACAAGTCTGATAATTAAATGACCCCATTATGCATCCAAAACATGATTTATAAATCATACGATAGTCCATTAAATTGTTAAAACAAAACTAAACGATTTAATCCTGTCTATCCGTTAACAGTATGCAAGATCAGTTAAACTTTCTTACTGTTAAATCCATAAGCACAAAGACATTAATTATGCAATGTGGTTTCTAATACAGCATAATATAATGTTTGGAATACATGCTACAATCCATTTAATTGCTAGACACAGTTTGCGCAAGTAAATCCTCTCTATCCGTTACATCCGTGAACAACATGCAATTTGTTTTAAACTTTCATACTGTTTAAAAATTATTAGCATATAAATAAAATGTTGCATCATAGGGCTTTAACACACCATGAATTAATATTTAGAACCCTCTTAATATCCTAACACAGTTCAAAATAACAAATTTAACCAAACACTACGTAAAAACAGCCCCGATACATTTTAAAACAACAGAGCCTGCTCTCAAGACAATGGAGCAGGCTCCAACCACCTCAAAGCTGGCTCCCTAAACCTTAGAGCCGGCTCTGTGAAGAGGGGAGCCGGCTCCCAACCTCCTGGAGCTGACTCTCTCTCCCTCTCTGAGAGCACTGCACTTCTACGCTTCATCTGCTTCGTCTCCGGCCGTTTCCAGCCATTCTGTTCTTTATAAATACTGATCTTAAGAGTCTAAAGAATATCCAGAATCATCCCAGATCTTTATTTAAATCAGTTTGTAGTAAAAAGAACTCTAAAATCAATTACCGATTTAACATGTTTTAAGCTCAAAACTGAAACACAAATTTGCAAGAACAATTCCAGAGTAAATTTAAACACACACAGATAAACAATTCAATATATATAAAACATGCAAGATTCAATTAATATCCGATTAAAATCCTAGAGATCATCTAGGTATGCACAGAACACGGGGTAAAGGGAAAGAGACAGAATAGAACTTACCTCTTAAGGATTCGGTTTGAAACCTTTAACCGTCTTCTTCTTAGGTTTTCCGGTGGCTTTAGTTGCCATTGAACCACCTCTGCCACTCTTGGTTTAACCCACGAGCCAGCCCCTGTTCCTCTTCCTCCTTGGTTCAGCCCTCTGGCTTGAAACCTAGCTTTTCTTCCTCTCAGTTTCTCTCTCTGTTCTCACGTCCCTATCTGCTGCTAAAAGGGTTTTTCCAACCCTATTGCAGACATCCTATGTATTTATAGGTTAAACCTACTCCAACCCTAATCCTTACTGAAATCCAAAACCGACGGAAAGAAAATAAAACCAAATTACATAAAATATAATGATTAAATATATACATAATTCATAATTTTATATATATATATATATATATATATATATACGACCTGCTAAATTCCTATTATTAACATAAATAATAAATAATTATGAATAATAATACTACTCTATCCTTACATACGTATATACTCAATTAAATATATAGCACCATCCATATATGGGTAAATATTCGTACCCATCAAACCTCCTGTCCAAGTAGTTCTATATGACCCTTTGGCTGGTCCATTACTACCATCCAATTCCATTCTTTTAAAAACATAATGATCAAGTAGTTCTTTTAACATAAATAATAAATAATTATGAATAATAATATTACTCTATCCTTACATACGTATATACTCAATTAAATATATACCACCATCCATATATGGGTAAATATCCGTACCCATCAAACCTCCTGTCCAAGTAGTTCTATGTGACCCTTTGGCCGGTCCATTACTACCATCCAATTCCATTCTTTTAAAAACATAAAAATTAAAATAAAATACTTTTAAATCATTTCCAAATAAAATTATAATAAATTAAAATCATTTAAGCACACAATAACAAACAACACAGGCAATTCAATCAAGAACTATTTACATAAATTAAAACACACAAGCAATTAATCAACAAATCAATTAACAAATTAAATCAATTTAAATAAAACATGAAACTATACAAACACATAGCCATATAAGCACCTAAAACACAATAAAAATTTCAATTATATCCTTTTGAAAACTAGGGGTATTACAATAATTATTGTTGAATTGTTTAGGATGTACATGCGTATCGGGTCTCTGCTTGGATTGTAGTAGTATATAACTTGCTCGTGGGCATGACCCACTCTTATTTTTCAGGTATCAGGCGGTTCCAGTCTTAGAGCTTGATCGAGCTGAGCAGAGACAGTCACTCATTCTTCTAATTATGTAGGACTACTTCTTATGTTTCAGTTTTACCTTTGGATTTTGTTTTAGTTGTTTACATTTCAGTTTGGGATTTTTATTAGGGGTCCACTAGAGATGGATTCCGAGTTGTTTAATTGTTGGAGGATATTTATGGAGGTTTTGGATTATTGAATTTTAATCATTTAATTCTAAGGAATATATTTTAGATATCTTTTCAGCCTTTATTATTTATTCATTATTTCGTTTTGCATTCATTGTTGTGACCCCAACAATGAATGCAGCTACTAGAATGATCGGTCGACCGAAGTGCCCATTTTGGTCGACCGAAATGGCTTTACAAGCTATGTAAAAATGCAGTTGAACTGCTATGTACATGGAAATGAAAAATGGTCTCAATAGAGACCTTGAAATTGGTCCAAATCCACCCCCAAAGCACTGCAAGATGATGTGCCATATCCTATACATTCAAAAGATGAACTTTATATGTCCTTTACATAGTTCCAAAATCATTTACATGAATTATACGACAGATACATCAAGTTTGTAATCTATGCAACAAAATACAACTACTAGCATATATGAGTTTCATTACTAATTACAACAGATTGGAGTTCACCAGGTTCATGTGAATTAGATACAAAATAACAAAATAATCCCATAGTCCAAGCTAGGCCTGTGGTGGAACATCGTCTGCCACTTCTTTTCCCAAACCTGAAAAATGTTAAATAATGGGGTGAGCTAAACGCTCAGTAGGAAGTGTCTAAGACACACCTCTTATAACCCCGTGAATCCACATAGAGAATAGAAAACAAGATAACGCGATCATTTCTCGGGAGTCAAGTAAAATCACTGTATCATCAACAAACATACATATCCCAACTAACTACCAAATGCACCACGTATGCCAATGATGTGCCATGCCATGCAATGTCACTCCTTGTTTCTGAAACCATACTGTTTTAACTTCCAAACCGTTAGTGTAATCCGACCCAAGGCACCTCCAAGGCGTCACGAAAGGGGGATTGACTAACTATCCACGACCACAAGGCACCTCCAAGGTGTCGTATCCGGCCTAGTTAACTTAATCCTTAATCCTCTCTAGACTACACTAACACCACGAACCACTAGGCGCTTCCTAGGCGTCCGATTTTTGTAAACATTTTTCAAAATCATTTCCTAAAACACATTTCACTTGTTTTAAAAACACTTTTATCTTTTTCTTTCCCAATGGATGCATGAATGCTCCATGCCTCAACTCATCATTTCAACCATAAAATTTTCACACATGTTATCCAACATAAATTTCTAAAACACATAACTCATGCATTCAATTCAACATCAATTTAGCATAGTAAGCATATAAGACATGAATTCAACTTCACATAGGCATATTTGATCACTACACAACAATTAACAAATAGTCACATGTTCCAAACTTAACATTTAAACAATTTTTGCAAGAGTTTATACAAATTGAGCATGCTAGACATCAATTTAAGTAAGAAAGCTCATAAAAGCACAAGAAATTATACATTAGAACACCCCTACCTCAAAGCTAGATGAAAATCTTCCAAAATGAGCCAAAAATCTCGAAAATCCTAGGGATGGCAAAAGCTGAAATTGCTTACATCAACTTGAAGATCTCGCCGAGCTCTCCAATTCACCGCAAAAGGCACCCAAAAAGTCCAAAAGATGAGAGAGTAATTTAAGCTTGAATTTGGTAAAGAAACGAAAAGAAAAAGAGAAGAAAAGTGAGGGAGAGAGATCCTTACGGGGAGAGAGAAAGTGCGAGGCCAAATTGTAATACCCCTAATTTTAAAAGGATAGTTTCGGTAGTTTATTTTATGGTTTTATTGTAATTTTTGCATTTTTATGGGCTTATTTGGCTGTTTGCTTATTTGTTTAAATTGTGGTAAATTAATTGAGTTAATTATAGTATTTATTTTATTTATTTGTTGTATATATTTGAATTATTTAATTAAGTATTTGTTTTAATTATTTTCTGTCTTAAATATATGTTTACATGCAAATTTGATTTAATTGTTTAATTGTTTTTTTTATTATTTTTTTTAGGGTTTTAGGTTCTTCACATTTAGCTGACTTAGATATAATATGAATAGTTTTTTTCCTGTCTCTAAATTAAACTAGAATTAGGGTTTTTAGTGAAGCCTATAAATAGAACTGTATGCCAAAGGTTTGTAAACCCTGTTCACGTACACAGAGAGACGGAGAGAAACAGAGAGGAACATAATACTTTGTTTAGGGTTTAGCTAGGACTAAGGCTAAACCAAGGAAAGATTAAAGGGGTGTGTTCGAGGGTTAAACCAAGGAGAAGACAGAGCATTCGCCGGAAACCTTAGGAAGACGACGCTGAGATTTTGAATTGAAATCTCAAAGGCAAGTTCTATTCCTAACTCTTTCTCTTTGACTCATGTTCTTTACATGCCTTACATAACTCCAGGAGTAAATAGACATTAAAGATTAATCTGGTTCGCATGTTAATTTCAATTATAACAGTATGCTTTTACATGAATTGGTGTTTGCTTGTTTGTAAATTTCCTTACATAATTCATGTTTTAATTGATGTTAATTGATGAATAATGAATTTAATAAATTGTTGGGACTATCTGGAACCTAGAACAGAGGTTCGGAACCTTAGCAAGGACAATCAGAAAGTCAGAAAACAGCCGGCGTCGGGGAAGACGAAGGCTGGGAAGAGTGGAGGCGCCTGCACCCTTCAATGGAGGCGGCTCGATTGAAGTGGAGCTGGCTCAATCCACATGATGTAGAGGCGGCTCCAAGGGAGTTGAGCCTACTCTACCTAAAAGTTGAGCCTCTTTTACCTAAGTTGAGCCTCCTCTACCTAAAAGTTGAGCCTCTTCTACCTAAGCTGAGCCTCCTCTACCTAAAAGTTGAGCCTCCTCTACCTAAGTTGAGCCTCTTCTACCTAAAAGTTAAGCCTCATCTACCTTAAATTGGAGCCTGCTCTACACGTTTTTGGAGCCTGTTCCTTTGTGGATTTTCAGTTTGTTTTTAATTTCAGCGATGGATTTTACTTCTGTACTTGGATTTTGATGTTCCAGTTTAATTAGAAGCTATACTGGAGATTCTAAGAGGTGTCCTAAGCTTATTTAAAACTCGCAAGGGCCTTGTTAGTGCATAATAATCCACCTTGTATTATAGTTTGAACAGTATAAGATTCTTACACAAATTGGTATACTGTTTTTGGATGCGGAGAATTTAAATTGTTCAACATAATTTTAACAATTTTTCGAGAATGATTCTATAGTTTAATTATGCTCCAGTGTTATAAAATAAGCATGTGAATTTATATAATCTATTATGCTTACTTGGAATTAATTGATTTTTACATGTATGGTCTGTATTATCAATTATTGGACTATGCGGAGTAGTATCAAATAAGCCTGTTAAATTACAAAGTTTTATCATGCTTAGTATGGAACAATTGATGTTTATATTTGATATTTTAATTATCAATTATTGGATGTATGGATTAGTTGATATTTACATTCCTTGTCTGTATTATCAACTGCTAGATGGATGGATTGTATGCACCGGTATGTGACGGTGGCATACTAGGGGGATTAGCTAAAAAACGCTAAGTCCTACTTACTATGGAATTAAGGAATGGATTAACTAAAAGTTAAATCCTATTGATTTGTAGTGTTAAGGCAACGAATGGTTGAGCGGCACTACTATGGATTCTGGATGGATTTTAAATATATTTGTTATGGTACCTCGATATGAGCTTGAGTCTTAGGATCGATGGTTAGGGCGCGTATATGCATTGGGATACATAGCTGGCTATGATGGTTGGAGATGTACCCTGTTAGGCTTAGGTATACACATGCCCACTTTTGGTGCGTTTTGCATGTTGCCTCTATTCAGGTTGAAATTGGCCTGTAGTCCAGTGAGAGTCCTTTAGTATTAATATATATATATATATATATATATATATATATATATATATATACGGACTATATAGTTATTGTTGAGTTGGTTAGGATGTATATGCGTATCGAGTCTCTGCTTGGATTGTAATAGGATAGAACTTGTTCGTGGGCCTGACCCACTTCTATTTTTCAGGTGTACGACAGTTCCAGTCGTAGGCTTGATCGTGCTGAGCAGAGACTATCACTCACTCTTCTGACAACGTAGGACTTCTCTCCATGGTTTACTTTGGATATTCTTTTAGTAGTTTCATTTCAGTTTGGATTTATATTAGGGGTCCACTAGAGATGGATTCCCGAGTTGTTTATTTATTGGAGGTTTTATGGAGGATTGGATTTCTGGATTTTAATTTTATTTTATTCAAGGATTTTTAAACTTAGATTTATTTCAGCTCTTAATTATTTATGTCTTATTTCATTTTTGTATTTCGTGTTCGTTTTAAATATTAATTGTTTGATATTCCCTCAGGTTTGGACTTTGGTCTGATCAACCCGTGTCTCAAATTCGAGGGGTATCACACAAATGTGGCCTCTTGACCACAAAAATGAAAGGTTAGTGGTGGGTAGGTCCCATCACCAAAAAATCTTTTCTTTTTAACATTTATTTTGCACCACAAATGAATATGCATACAAACCATATTATATCCACATAAAACACATGAAATAAAATGAATGAAATGCAATTGGACCCAATTAAAAACCCCACACACGACAATTTCGGTAGCGGGTCCCACACGGGACCGTCCGACTTGAAAAACAGAAAAATGCCAAAATGGCAACTGGTGCATTTCCAAGAGTCCTGAACTCGATGGAATGCCCCAACTAACCCTCGGACACACCCAGCACACCCCACGGTATCCTGCAAGCAAGAGTGAAAAGACGAAAATACCCTTAAAAATTAGAAAAATTCCAGAAAATAGAAAATGAGAAAAATCAGAAACATTCCAGGAATTAAGGAACTTAAACAGTTTTCAAGTCGTCAGTTCGAGATGAAGGATCTTAGACCCCTTAGTTATTTTCTTGGTCTTGAGATCACTAAAGTTACAGACGGTTAATACCTTATTCAGGAAAAATACATATCAGACCTTCTTTCAAAAGCAGGCTTAATTGATAACAAGATTGTTGATACACGACTCGAGCACAACACGGACTCAATTTACATGATAACGAATCTCTTCGGGATGGTACATTGTATCAATAATTGGTTGGTAGTGTGGTTTATCTCACTGTTACCTGCCCAGATATCTCTCATGATGTTCATATTGTCAGTCAGTTCATGACTGCCCCTAGATCTACTCATTTTGCTGCAGTTCTTTGCATCATTCGCTGTCTCAAAGACACTATGCTTCATGGGCTTCATTTTTCTTCTCAGTCATCACTTGTTCTCCATGCTTATTCAGATGCAGACTGGGCAGGAGACCCTACAAATCGTCGTTCCACCACAGGCTTTTGTTTCTTTCTTGGTGATTCACTTATCTCTTGGCACAACAAGAAATAGATTGTGGTTGCTGGTTCTAGTACGGAAGTTGAGTACATGGCACTTGTTGACAATACTTTAAAGCTTATGTGGTTGCATTGGCTCCTTCAGTACATGGGAGTTTCTTCATCCACTGCCACTCCTATATATTGTGATAATAGGAGTGCAATCCAAATTGCACCCAATGATGTTTTTCACGAGCACACCAAACACATTGAGATCGATTGTTATTTTATTCGTCATTATCTTCTTTAAAAGACCTTAGAGTTGCGGTCCATTACTTCTCATGATCAGATAGCAAATGTCTTCACCAAATCGTTTCCGCCAGGCCACTTTTGAGATCTCATTTCCAAACTCAAGATGGTTCATTTAATCCACCTTGGTTTTGAAGGGAGTGTTAGATTATATTGTATATAATACTAGGGTTTACCGTAGCCACCTCCACCTACCCACTTACCATACGTAGATATCTTGGTCATCAATCAGTTACCCTAACTTGCACAACACTCACCTACCCCTATTCCTCACCTATATATATATATAGGTGTTTTATGTGTTGTGTTTATGCGTTCAATTCACCTATATATATACGTTTCATCTGTCTCTTTCTCTTTTATTTCTAACAAGCACGATACTTCACAAAACATTTTTTTCAACTACTTAGATTGGTTACATGTAAGGGTAACAATTTATGTCTAAGCACGTTAAACCGCCCAGGCCCACCCACTAAAATTAAATCATTTGGGCACCCCTAAGACGCCAACACCATCTTATAGAAATGAACTCCCTTCAAAAAAGGTCTATCTATACAAAGTAACTTACTCGAGGTCTTTATTTCATCTTTGGGGTTTTTCTGATGGAGAAACTCCCTAAAGGCCTTCATTTCATCTATGAGGTTTATTTGTAAGGGAACTCCTTAGAATCATTCATTTCATCTCCAGGGTTTATCCTTAAAAGAGGAACTCCCTAGAGGCCTTCATTAATCTCTAAGGTTTATCCGTAGCGAAGAACTCCGCAGAAGCCTTCATTTCATCTCTGAGGTTTATTTGTAGAAAGGATCTCCTCGATACGAGCAATTTATACAACCAAGAACCCCAAGGTAAGAGGAACTATGAAGGTAAAGGGTCTTTGAGCTTCTTGTATTAGAAAGAACTATCAAGGTAAAGGGCCCTTAAAGGAGCTCTGAAGGTGGAGGGATCTTGAGCTCCTTGAAGTAAGAGGAGTTATGGAGGTAGAGGTCCTTAAGAGGGATTTAAATTATAAAACATCTGTTGCCTAGATGCATTAATTACGAGTCTCTTCAAGTTCTGTCAATTTGTTCACTCTTTAATATATGAGGAGCTGTGAAAGTAAAATGCCTTTAAGGTATTTGAAGTATGAGCTCCGAAAGTGAAGAGCCCTTGAGCTCCTTAAAGTAGGAGGAACTCTAAAGGTTGAGAGGGCCCTCGACCTACTTAAAGTAGGAGTGGCTCTAGAGGTGGAGGACCCTTGAGCTCTTTGAAGTAGGAAGAGCTCTAAAAGTAGCTCCTTCAAGTAAGAGGGGCTCCAGAAATGAAGAGCTTGAATTAAGAGGAACTGAAAGTAAAAGAGTCCATACGGGCCTCAAGGAGCTCTGAAACTGAAGGACTTTTGCGGGCCTCAAAGTAAGAAGAGCTTTGCATGCAGAAGACCCTTGAGCCCCTCGAGGTAAGAGGGGCAAGCCGCAGGGGTCAAGAGGCCATTTGCTACCCGCGTGGCTCTAGAACTACCACATGGCATCTTCTCCATTTTCGCTCTGAAACCAATGAGACTAAATTTGAGTATTTTTTTTCTTCGTTTTCAAGTAAATGCATTAGACAGGAGAAAAAAACATAAAAATTACTTACATAATAACAAAGAAGGGTCATCACTGATTCACCACCCCTTACCAAGGTGATATGACCTCCACCTCCTCAAAGGAGACTCAGGAGAGTCAAAGGTCCGACCACCAAATGGGCTTCGCCCAAGTGTGTGTTGATTTACTTACCAAAAAATAAAAAATAAATAGATAAATAACACACCCCAAATAAAATATAGGTAAATGGAAAAAAAATATATAAACATGAGTTGTGATTGTGTAAACATTTTTTTTTTTTTCTGACACATTTTTTTATATGAATTAAGTTAGCTTTTGAACTGTTCAATAAAAGGGACCGGTTACATTAATTAGGAGAAATAAATGTTAAATTATGCAATCAATATAATCTGAACCCAATTCATTGAAACCCATACAAAAAAAATTTCGATGCGTGGCATGGGGTTAATCAATCAAATTTATTTTTGTTATGATTGCGTAATAAGGCCCATTTCTTACCTTATGAAGAAAAATGGACATTTCAACTTCTTTTCATCAGAACGCTCATTTCAAATTAAAAAAATGGCCATAAGTTTAACTTCAAACTTTACGTTATATTTCACTTATGTGAAGATGTGTGAAAGGTTGTGTCAGTTTTATAATGAAGTTCCTTTTTTATATACTCGGAAAATTTTAACAAGAAAGTAAACTAAATGAAAATATTCACCTACGTACCTTCATCTTGAGGAAGACGCCCAGCTTGTGCTTCAACAATGCTTATTTCACTGCATATCAATATAAACAAGATCAATAAAAGAGTTGAGATAGATTTGGGAACATCAAGAACTATTGCCATGTCCTCGAGCTATGTGAGCAAAATCACACACGCATCTATATATATAGATATTTGGATATGAAAGAATTTATTCATAGTGCCAATTTAGTGCAGTAGTGGGATATTTTGCCTCCTGGGTTGATCCAAGCCATTGAGGCTGATCTTTAATTTCTGGTCTGTGTTTTTTTGTAGTCTGAAAAAAAAAATTAATAAAAATAAAAAAATAAAAAATCTAGTTTGAAAAGGTGGTTGGACAAATTGCATAAAACCTACCCTATTTTCAATTTTTGACAAAAATTGTATAAAATCACTCTAATTATTTAATTTGTTGCAAATGATAATGTCCCTTAATATAAATTTAAGAGAATGGTTCTCCTTAATATAAAATTAAAATTAATATAAATAACTCATTCTACATAGTGATGTTAAAATTTTTCCAAAATTTTTTAGTGGTGCATCTATAAGAAAATGAAAATAATTTAGAACAATTTTTAAGATTTTTCTTAAATTTTATTTTTTTAAAAATCAAAAAAGAAAATAATACCTAAAATAAACATCATTTTAAAGAAAAATTATTTTTTAAAATTTATATTAAGGGACATTTTTTTTTCATTATAACATCACTTTAATGGTGTGTATTTTTCAAAAAAAAAAAAAAAAAATTAAAATTCTATTTCTAAAAATTAAAAACAAAAATATAAATTGAAAATGAAAATAAAAATAAAAATATTTTTTAAATTTACATTAAGATACATTTTCATCATTATAAAATCACTTTGTAACAAATTTGATAGGTAGGGGGTTTATACAATTTGCCCTTTGGTGGTCCTTTGTCCTATATTTTTTAAAAGCAAATTGCAATGAGATTATTGATAATACGTAGAAATATGTTTAGTTGTCAATTTTTTTATTATTATATTGGATTGACATGTTTGTGCATTGTTGAATCATGTTTTTTCAGTTTAAAGTTATGATTGATTGCATTGAATTGGAGAATTGGAATTGTTTCAAGACGATTCCAATTTAATGCAGTCAAACATAAATCAATTTTAATTTTAAAGTTTTAATTTTATGCGATCAAACATAAATTTGATAAAATTAACGGTAAATTTTTGGTATCTAATTCTTTTATTATAAAAATCATTTAGATATGTTTGTTGTTTGAAAAGTCATTTATATTGTAATTCATAAATGGTTTATGTAACCCTTCTCCATTCAATCAATCAATCAAAATTGGTTTTAAAAAAAACGAAGTTAAAAATCAATCAAAAAAAAAAAAAAAAAAAAAAGGATTTCAAGGTATTCTTTATGATTTCTACTCTTTTAAGTAGTGTCACTACAATGACAGCGTCGCAGTGGTATTCTTTCCCTCCTTCCATGCACAGGCAAAAGACATGTCTTTTGGAGGACTCCGAGTGTTTGATTAATTTTGTTGCTCCATTGATCTAATATGATATAAAATAATTGGTCTAATATGATATAAAATAATAATAATAATTCCAAAAGTGTAACAAACCCCTATAACTTTCAACCATATTTTTAGTTGTAAACTATATACTATTATGAAGAATACAGAAAAGGTCCACTAAATAATTCGAATTCAAATAAACCAATATATTACTAACATATATTCAGACTAATTAATTGAAATGAATATCAAAGTTTCGTAATTAGTTACCTTTAATTTAATTTTTATCTCTTTGGATAACGAGCTGTAAAGTTTAAAGTTAATTCACATATATACTATTTATAAACCAATAACAAGGAAACTGAAGGGTTACTAAAACTAAGGACCTTTAATTTTCAGAAAAATAAATCTATAAGCCATGTTTCATCGAATTTTATCTATTTACCGTATTTTTTAGGTAATTAATATAGCATTACTTTCTTTGTTGTTATCCTCAGTCTTGATGGATGGATCTTTAATTTCAACAATGCTACCAAATATTTCGACACAAATGGGGTTTGACAAGTATATATATATATATATATAAAATTTTATATAAATAGGGATGTGGACAAAAAAATGTGTTTATTTTAATTATTTTTTATCTTTTACTCTATAAGATATTAAGATTGAACAACAAATAAATTCATAAAAAAAACCGTTATTAGTGACAAAACAATAATAATGATAATAATAATAATAATAATTAAATTACAGTAACATAAAGAGAATTGACTTGGTTCACTGCATTCACAAATCGATTTGACTGGTTAGATGTAATCTTCTGAATGCAGAGTCTTGGCCGCATGCACGCGACTTTAATGGATAAGACCCGACTCTTCATTATTTTTAATAAGGGAGTCCCACGAGTCATGTACTTGTTCTGTCGTGACTTACGAAGGGACCTGGGAAAGGAAGATGATTGATCCAATGTTAGGAGACTGGAGTAGTGATGCTTCACAATAATTGTTGGATAAAATGATCCACCGACAGAAACAATGTTAGGAGACTGGAGTAGTGATGCTTCACAATAATTGTTGGATAAAATGATCCACCGACCCAAACTTTTAATTGGCTGAAATTATCTTTCGACATATCATATTTATAAATAAAATACATATACATATACATATATATCTTCATATGTGTGGTGAGTCTAATAACAGACGGATGTCGAAATTTATTTCATCCAAACATATTAAATATGATAAAGAATTATTATTTTTTAAGTGCAATAATGGTGCATTAATAAAGATTCAGATAATATATTACTATTATTTGCAAAAATTATAGATGAAGAAACTTTAAAATATAAAATATAGACATCAAGGTTATAAAATTATAATAATAAATTCAAATAAGAAAAAGAGAAAAAAAAAAAAAAAAAAAAAAAAGAAAGTTACACCATGATTGATTCAATGTTAGGAGACAGGAACCATGATGCTTCATAATAATTATTGGATGAAATTATCTACCGACAGGAACTCGTGATTGGATAAAATTATCTATCGACGTATCACACTTACAAATAAAATATATATACACATACACATATATCTTTATATGTGTGGTGAGTCAGATGAATGCCGAAATTTATTTCATCCAAGCATATTGAATATGATAAAGAATTATTGTTTTTTAAGTGCAATAATGGTGCATTAATAAAGATTCAGATAGTATATTACTATTATTTGCAAAAATTATAGATGAAGAAACTTTAAAATATAAAATACAGACATCAAGTTTATAAAATTATAATAACAAATTTAAATAAGAAAAAGAGAAAAAAAAAAAAAAAAAAAAAAAAAAAAAGTTACACCATGATTGATCCAATGTTAGGAGACAGGAACCGTGATGCTTCATATTGAATATGATAAAGAATTATTATTTTTTAAGTGCAATAATGGTGCATTAATAAAAATTCAGATAGTATATTACTATTATTTGCAAAAATTATAGATGAAGAAACTTTAAAATATAAAATACAGACATCAAGTTTATAAAATTATAATAACAAATTTAAATAAGAAAAAGAGAAAAAAAAAAAAAAAAAAAAAGTTACACCATGATTGATCCAATGTTAGGAGACAGGAACCGTGATGCTTCATAATAATTGTTGGATGAAATTATCTTGTGATTGGATGAAATTATCTACCGACATATCACACTTACAAATAAAATATATATACACATACACATACATCTTCATATGTGTGGTGAGTCTAGTAACAGAAATTTATTTCATCCAAGCATATTGAATATGATAAAGAATTATTATTATTTAAGTGCAATAATGGTGCATTAACAAATATTCGGATAGTACATTACTATTATTTGCAAAAGTTATAGATGACGAAACTTTAAAATATAAAATACAGACATCAGGTTTATAAAATTATAATAATAAATTTAAATAAGAAAAAGAGAAAAAAAAAAAAAAAAAAAAAAGTTACACCATGATTGATCCAATGTTAAGAGACTGGAACCCGTGATGTTTCACAATAATTGTTGGATGAAATTAGTTACCGACAGGAACCTGTGATTGGATGAAATTATCTACCGACATATCCCACTTACAAATAAAATATATATACACATACACATACATCTTCATATGTGTGGTGAGTCTGGTAACAGATGGATGCCGAAATTTATTTCATCCAAGCATATTGAATATGATAAAAAATTATTATTTTTTAAGTGCAATAATGGTGCATTAACAAAGATTCAGATAATACATTACTATTACTATTATTTCAGATAGTATATTACTATTATTTGCAAAAATTATAGATGACGAAACTTTAAAATATAAAATACAGACATCAAGTTTATAAAATAATAATAATAAATTTAAATAAGAAAAAGAGAAAAAGAGAAAAAGAAAAAAAAAAAAGAAAAAGTTACACCATGATTGATACAATGTTAAGAGACAGGAACCGTGATGCTTCACAATAATTGTTGGATGAAATTATCTACCGATAGGAACCCGTGATTTGATGAAATTATTTACCGACATATCATACTTACAAATAAAATATATATACACATACACATATATCTTCATATGTGTGGTGAGTTTGGTAACAGACGGATGTCGAAATTTATTTCATCCAAGCATATTGAATATGATAAAAAATTATTATTTTTTAAGTGCAATAATGGTGCATTAATAAAGATTCAGATAGTATATTACTATTATTTGCAAAAATTATAGATGAAGAAACTTTAAAATATAAAATACAGACATCAAGTTTATAAAATTATAATAATAAATTTAAATAAGAAAAAGAGAGAAAAAAAAAAGTTACACCATGATTGATCCAATGTTAGGAAACAGGAGCCCGTGATGCTTCACAATAATTGTTGGATGAAATTATCTACTGACAATAACTGTTATTGGATGAAATTATCTACCGACATATCACACTTACAAATAAAATATATATACACATACACATATATCTTCATATGTGTGGTGAGTCTGGTAATAGACAGATACCGAAATTTATTTCATCCAAGCATATTGAATATGATAAATAGTTATTATTTTTTAAGTGCAATAATGGTGCATTAATAAAGATTCAGATAGTATATTACTATTATTTGCAAAAATTATAGATGAAGAAATTTTAAAATATAAAATACAGACATCAAGTTTATAGAATTATAATAATAAATTTAAATAAGAAAAAGAGAAAAAAAAGAAGTTACATCATGACGAAGATTAATTTGCAACGATCTGAAACAATAACGAAAATAAATTAGGTAATTGATAAAGTGAAGTTCAATATTGCTCGTGCCTTATTGACTGATAAGAGTCTGTTTTTATAACTAATTGAGCCGAGTGTTGGTTGCAATCTTTAAAGAAAAGATTTTGTCCATAATTTGAATTTCATATCATCAAATCAAAGTAACGTTTTGGATTTTATCACCTCATCGCCGTATCATCTTAACAATTTGTTCAGCCTCTTTTATTGATTTCCTAGTCGCACCACATGCACCGCACAGGCATATATGAGTGCGAAAAGGAGAGAGAGGAGAGAGAACTTTGAAGAAAACTTAAAAAAATATTTTAAAAAATTAGAAATTTTAAAGAGGACATTTTTGTAAGACTTCACAATATACATGTCCATAAAGCTAATATAAAAATATTTGACGCGGTCGCTCCGTCTCTATGCTAATCTCGAGGAATTAATTTACTCAAAAGAGGAGATGTCAACCGCCATCATTGTTCTGCTGCTCATCTTGCTTATTCTAATATGTGTTGGAGCGGAAGTAAGAAATGGGAGTCTTCCCGCGTATGAAAGTAAGAAGCCTTCTACAGTTTTACTGTATTCCATCTTTAATTTCCATTTTGATTTGCCAGTAGAAATTCCATTTTAAAAAGTTTTAAAACCATAAGTTGTTTCCATTTCTAACCCATATATGATGATTGAATTGAAAATTAGTCCCTTGAAGTATATGGTTTTTTGAGAATCAAGTAAGTATACACACACACACACACACACACACACACACACACAATAATACAACTTGTTTATACAATATCATAATCTTTTGAGTAGTCGGATTTTAGTTAACATATATGTCATGTAATATGTTAACTAAAATTTTGATTTTTCAGTGAATGCTCTCGGGGAAATAGCAGAACAATTGGGCAAAAAGGATTGGAATTTCAGTTTAAACCCTTGCGATGGAAACTCCAACTGGCAAACACCAAGACCCAGCGAGACACCACTGATTCATAACAACACTGTCAACTGCAGTTGCTCTTATCCTAATGGTGAATGCCACGTCATCAGCATGTATGCTTCCTTTTCATACTATTAAAAATATTTTCACCTTCATTGATTTGAAACTTATTTATGGCGATAAAAAATCAAAATTCTTTCTTCTTGTTCTTTTTACATCACTATATCCTTTAATGATAGAAGAGGGTGTACTGAAGGTAAAAGTTTCTATAATATATATATATATATATATGCCATTTGTTAGTCACAATATCCTTATATACCTTTTACACCCTGTTCCATAGCCTTTTTGCAGTGACATGTAATTTTATTCAATAGTCAGTAATGTAAAATACATTTCACACACACACACACACACATATATATTGAACTCAAACTAGTGAGAGCCTTGTTAAATATGATTACAGAATTGGTCATCTTTATATTGAGTTTTGATATGATAAATCACACTGTATATCTATTGACTTGAAGAGTGTTTTAGGATTTGATTTTGTAATGCATTTAAGCTAGATTTTTGTGTTTTTTTTGTTTTTTACATACAAGGTGCTTTCATGCATATATAATTACTGTTTTTATTTGGTTGCTCTGTTCCTGTTATTCTCTTTTTATGTTTTCCATTCTTTCTTTCTTTCTTCTATACAATTTACCTTCTACACAAAAAAAAAAAAAAGAAGAAGAAGAAGAAAAAAAGAAAGATCTACCAAGCATAGGTCTATCATCACTACATAAAACTTTCTTCTTTGTGAATTGCAAATTTTTTTACTTTTCTTTGTACTTATGCAGCCTTGTGTGTGAGCTGTTCTAACCTGCGCATAAAGGCACACTACAATTACATATCTTTATATGAATCTACTTGCAACCTTAGAGTTGTTCTGGGCATTAAGATATCTGAACGGTTGCCTTGACTCTATAGCTTCATATTGGATTTCCGAAGACACCTTATGATTAATTTCAAGTTTGTTTTTATTTTTTTTATTTTTTTTTTATTTTGACTTCTGACAAAATTGAATTGTTTATATTTTGTATGGAGATACCTTTTTACGTGTACAACCCGAATCTTTTCAAGTGCCTTAGACGTTGTAGTGCACTGGGAAGCATGGAGATCACTCCACAAGGGGTGGGATCCATTCTGCCCGTGGAGTCCACACCCTCTATGGAGTGATCTCTATCATTTTCTGTGCACTGGATCATCTAGTGCATCGGAGAGGATCCAAATTTTTATCTGTAACCTTGTGGCGCGATTATTGCTCCCCAGCCATAGGATCACGTGGACCTACAATGGGACCTATACAATTCATTGACCAAGGAAACATTTATCTTCTCGGTCTTATGTGTACTAAAAAAAATTTGAATATATAATTGATTGAATATCTCCGTGCTTAATTTTTGCTCAGAAAAGATATCTCATTGTTTAATATTGTGAAGATGTACAACTGTACAATTGTAATTTGTATATCATGAAACTATGAGATTAAGGCTCCATTTGTTTTGACGGAAAATATTTTTTTCCTTGGAATATATTTTCTTTTTTCAGGTAAAATATTTTGTTATATTTTTATTTTTCGGTGTTTGGCAAAGGCCTAGATCGAGGTTGAGGTCGAGTCCATCGGGTGGGGCGTGTAAAATAGCTTGCTGAAAATGAATGAATAAGTTATTTTTGTTAGGTTTTAATAATTTTTTAAAAAATATTTTACCCTCAAACAAACGGAGAAAAGAGAAATGATTCTCTAACTGAATAGAATTACTGAAAGGTAAGCTGAAGGGCTGCACAACCCTTAGATGAATGCATTTGAGATTGTGCAACCCTTTGGTGCATAATTCCGGTACTATTCTTCGGATAGAGTAGCATCACTCTTTGGTAAAATTACAGACACTATTCCTTTGTTTTCAAACTTTAAGTTCTCTATAACAATACAATAACCATCTTTTTGTTAAAGTTGCCAGAGACTGACTGCTGTTACTGGAAAATAAAAATTTAAATATGTTCGTTTTGCTCTTGCAACGGGTGTACTTTATTTTTTAAAAGAAGACATGATATAGAAGGCATTTTAGTAAAATCAAAACAATCTTTAACTTGTAAGACTGACCTCTCCTGTTAGGAGAGGTCAATGTAATTGTTGAAAAATGTAGGAGTGGTCTATATTATTTTGCTTAACCTCGGAAGAGGTTAGTGTAATTTACCCTAATGAAGAATTTGAATCACTGTGTTTAGTTAGTCTGAGTTAAGTGACTAGTTTAAAAGAATTCTCGATTACTTTTTAAAAAAAAAAAATTATGGGTTTTGAATGTTAACTGAAACTCACATGAATCTCAATTACCCAATTACCACTTATATTGATTAGTTTAAAAAAAATTCTTACACATTTAAAAAACAACATTTGTTTTCTTTACACCAAGAAAGAACCTCTTCCTTACACCTAACTTGTCCGCAATTAATATGCTAACACATTAGCTTTAAGAAGGAAATTGATGTTTATGTGTAAAGAGACAATTAGTACAACTCAGTTGGAAGTTCTTCTATATATGCTAAATTGAATTATATAATATTGTTCAAACAAAAATCTGAGCCCGTAATTTTTTTGTAAAACAGATCTCTTCAAGGCCAGGACCTTGCTGGTGTGCTACCGCCATCCTTGGCAAAGTTACCATACCTCAAGACAATGTAAGATTTAATAGATTTATATAAATTAGTAACTCTTTTTATTTTTTTATTTTTTATTTCATATCATTTATTAACTTGAAAATATATTTTTCTCTTTGTAGTGATCTCACTCGCAACTATCTCAGTGGTACAATACCCCCAGAATGGGCTTCTACCAAATTGGAATATTTGTAAGCAACTTCTGGACTTCATAGTTTATAGTGCTACAAGATCAGCCAACACTAATTAATTGTTTTCTTGAATTAATTATAGTGAAAATAGTGCATGTTACATGTAGGTCTGTTGCTGTCAACTGCTTATCAGGGCCCATCCCAGCCTACTTGGGAAACATTGCAACTCTCATTTATATGTATGCTCTCTCTCTCACACACACACACAAAACTGTAAAGGAAAAATAATTATCTAGAAGTTTTACATGGTTTACCTCTTTTGTGATTATGATTTGGAAAATTGGTTTTCAGGAGCTTAGAGATCAATCGGTTTAGTGGTATGGTTCCAGCTGAGCTTGGGAAGCTGCCCAACTTGGTGAATCTGTCAGTCCTGTCTCATATGTGTGTGTGTATCATATTTGATATGATATTCTTGATTGTTAACTAATTACATAATCGCTATAAAATTTTGGTCAATGTAGAATTCTCAGTGGTAACAATCTCACAGGAGAGTTGCGGATGGAGCTCACCAATCTAACCAAATTGACAGAACTGTGAGTGTATTAGTGACCTTAGTAATATTGTTTTATAAGAATTAAAGTTGTGTAAAAAACAAGTGTGTGTTTTTGTAATCTTCACTCTTCTCTATTTTGGACCAATGCAGTAGGTTAAGCAATAACAACTTTACTGGAAAATTACCCAGTTTCCAAAGTTGGAAACAACTTCAGATGTTGTAAGTGTTCTTAACTTTTAAAGTATCCATTAATTTTTTGAAGTTAAAGGCCTGCTTGTTCAGCTTTACAAGAATACTTTCGTGTTCTCAGGTAACAGAAAATTTGGAACTAGTTCAAAAATTCTTTTAGTTGCCAGTTTCCTCAAATTTTTATCTGAATAAAGTCACAAAAAGTTATAATTTCACTGAACAGCCCTTGTTAGTTATCTGAAAACACATTTGATACGTGTCAACAGAGAGATCGAAGCTGGTGGTTTCGAAGGACCCATACCTCCTGACATTTCTGTCTTAAATTACTTAACTGAATTGTGAGTTAAACCTTTTCAGGTCATATTTCTAGAGATGATTGATTTCAGTAATATCCTCTTGTGCGTTTATGTAAAAGATAAATAATGTGGAAAGCAATTATACTTGACCGGTTCTCTGTGCAGAAGGATCAGTGACTTATATGGAGGAAATTCAGTTTCAGTTTTTCCGCAGCTAGGAAACATGAAAGGAATGAAATATTTGTGAGTCCTGCATACTAACATTGAAAAATTATCAAAGTATTTTCATTTGTAGTCCCCTGCAATAATACTTGTATGTATCTGGTTTATGTTGCAGGGTGTTGAGGAGCTGTAATATATCTGAAGAAATCCCCAAATATATAGCAGAAATGAACGAATTGAAATATTTGTAACTCTATTACTTCTTGTTTTCTGAATTCTTTTTTATTTTCTTTTTTTTTCATGACAAGTGCATCTTTGATTAGTATCAATTTCCTCGATATCAACTTAACATCTCTGTATATATGCTAACTGTATCAACAATGTGGAGGTTAAAGATCAATTTCATCCTCTATCGTGGTCTTTACTTCTTTTACTGTGCACTAAGTTCCTGCAAACTAAGAATCTTGGCACAGATATGGGATGGGAGAAAACGAGGGAAACTCAAAACTGTTAAATGCAATAGATTGCTTACTCTGAACTACTATTGACTATATATGCAGTTATTAGCCTAGGAGATCATACTAATAGTAGTCTATTTAATAATCATCTCCAAGCTTATGGAGGCACTTTTTGTCACATCAAACATATCTGAAGAAGATTGTCCGCATTTAATTTGCAAATTTTTGCCTTTCAGATGAACCAATTCTCCCTTGCCTTTGGCAGAACTAGGGTTTTATGAAACTATACATTATCTAATATTGGCTTCTTGAGCTGAAGAACCAAATTTGGATCCTTTGGCTATTTTTCCATCGCGAGGAGTGTTGACTTGATGTTCACAATTTGGTTTGGGACTTAGGTCTCCAAACCCTCTTTACCACTTCTTCAACCACCATTTTTTTTACTTCTTGAATTACACTTCTCCAAATGCCTTTGTGAGACTTTGTTAGGTTTGTATTGCACTTTTTATGTGTTTGCATTCAATCTTACTAAACATTTTTTCCCCTTATTGGATTTTAGCATGACAGTGGCCTTGTTATTCTTTGGCAGAGACCTCAGCTTCAACAAGTTGGAAGGGAAAATTCCAAACCTTGAAGGACTCAGAAGTGTGAAAAAAATGTAAGTAACTAAATTCAGTAGGGCAACCTGCCATGTAATTAATTTTTGATGTACAAAAGTTTGTGAGATATGGATCTTGTAATTGGCTAATTTCGGTGTTAAAATGTGTCTGATCAAGTTGTAATTTTTGTTTTACCTTGAGTCTCGATATCGGAAGCGGAACTAAACATGCAAGCATACTTTGATTCGATGAGAACATTATTTAGTATAGGTATGTGAATGAGGATACATATTGCACGTTTAGATTTAAGTCAGATTAGGTTGCAATCATATTTTTGGCTTTAAAATTGCAAACTGCCACAGTCTGACCGGTCCAACTTATTTCCCACCGGTTGTACTTGGTGAATAGCCTTGAAACAAATTTTCGAAATTGACGAACAGGCCAGTGGCCTAGCGGTAACAGACCCCTACTTCCCAAAGGGAGGTCAGGGATTCAAGCCTAAGTGGAGGTATGTGTGTTTGAGTACCAACTAAGAAAAAAAAAAAAAAAAAAAATCGAAATTGTAAGATTGCGACTGTTAAAGTCAGACAAGTGCCACTAAGTCCAACCGGTCACACTTTATAGGATTAAAGGAAACTTCAGTTTTTGTAAAATTCTTCTTTCCTTTTTTACAAAGACTTGTTAGGGAAGTCCATGTACAACCATGACTGATTTACCAAGTTAGGTTCGGACTCTCTATATAAACACTTTTTTTCTCATGATTTCATACGGCTTTTGAAATCAAAATTCAGCAATTTCAGTGAACCTTTCTGATCTGTTTTATTTTTTCTGTTATGAGAGCACACACTATTTTACACGAGTGATATTAGGTTGGTGTTTTCTCTCTGATCAAAGTTCGTGCCAATTAAAGATTCTATTGATTTCGCCCCATAGACCCTAACTGAACCTTGATTCCCCTTGGGAACCCCTTTCCAACCAAAGAAGGGATACGAACAGAAGCCTGAACTTGGTCTTCAACCTCCTCTTCTAATTGAGCTAGACTTAAGAAAAAATGATCCATCGACAACTACATTTTAGAATGCTCGTATGGATACAACTACATTTTAGAATGTTCGTATGGATGGGGTGGCCGAATATGAGGTATTTCATTGATTAAATGCAGCTCCCCGGCAACAATTTTGGCACCCCCTGTGGGACCAATAGTTTCAAAGTCAAGGTAATGGCCAGAATCAAGTGCTCCCCAATGAAAATGGTACTAGAAGCACAACCTCCGGTAGTTTATACCATATTGAATTCAAATTAATATTTCATTGGATGGATGCCCGATAAGTGAATGTCGATTTCCTCTTTGAGCCTATGTTGTTTTCATCGTCAGGAGTTGGAATATTCATTTTCTGATTCTTCTGCCAAGATACCTCTTGGATCCAAAAGCGAGGACCGTCCGAATCGACAGAATAGTTTTAGTGTACAAATAGCAGGGTTTTCGCTTTACCTTCTTAAATTCATATTTGAAGGAAGGAGGATTTGATTGTGCTACAAAGGGGACAGAGCATTCGCGGAGTGTTCGTGTTCCCTTCTACGAGGATTGAGGAGTAAGCCTGAAGTCAAGAGTGTTTGGACGGGGAATTGCAAAGCCAAAGGCTTTCAACAACTACTTCTTGGTAGAGTGGAGTGAGTGTGAGCTTGAGTCAGAATCTATTGTACTTTGCTTCGAGATAGTGGATCGTTTCGTTCGAGATTGCAAAAGTCTCCGTGGTTTTTGTCCCAGTTGGTCGGATTTCTTCCAACAAGGGTTTCCACTCTAAAAATCCCGGTGTCATTCTAAACTTTAGTTTATCTACTTGCCTTATATTTCTGTTATAATTTTAATTGTGCGGGTAAAATTAAAATTTGGATAACAGAGCATGTTAAACCTATTCACCTCCCTCTATGTGTTTTGATAAACTGATATTCCACTACCATTCTGCATAGAGCAACTCACAAAATCTTCCCTGTAAATTTTCGTATGTAGTTTGGCATTGCCTTATTGTGTTGATCCATGCATGATTATTCCAACCTTGGATTCCTTCAAATGTTAATGTAATAAGAAGCCTTGTGATATGTAGAAAAAAGCCTTCCTATACTTAAGATTTAGATTATCTCACAGATTTTAGAAGTTCATGCCACTTATTTATTCTGCATTACATATTGGAATAATAGCAATGTAAATGCTAATGTAATCGGAATGAGACTGTTGAACACTGATTAGGTATCTGACAAGCAACCTGCTTTCTGGGCCCATACCAGAATGGATCAAGAGCAGAAGTTCTAGCTAGTAAGTTCTTCATCCTGAATTTATATCAGTTTTTCATGAAACCTTATTCTTTTCTATAATTTAATATTCTAATTTTAAATACATGGAAACAGTAGATATGTGCCTATATGTATTTATAGACACTCAATTCATCCACTGATCAACGGTGGTTTAAATCATGATCTGATCTCTTTGGGGGTCATTCTCCTGTGGTGTTTCTGCCTTGTGCTTTTGTGAAGCAATCCTGATTTGCTTACTGTTCCGTTTACTTTGTTGTCCATGTGCAACTAGTGAAAAGAAAAAATAGAAGTTTAATTCTGGTTTCTACCTTTTGTTGTTGGATGCTAGATGTTTGACCCACATGGCAATTTTGTTGCCAAGAACATAATTCAGCAGGGTCTGAATTTGCTTTTCGATGGTTTAGGTAATGAGAGAGAAAAAGAAAGCCCAAAAGAATATAAAGAAAAATGTGCTGTTGAGCAACTTATATTACAAAAGGTCATAGAATGTTAAAAGTGACATTTCTTGAAACATTGGATCAATTTTCTGTTCCAATCTTCTTCTAATATGTGTCTTGTTATTTTTTCCCCGTTATTTTTGATGGACCTAAAAATGAGTTAAATATTAATATATTTTTGTGCAGCTATATAGATCTCTCTTACAATAACTTTTCTGAGGACTCTATACCGAATTTTTGTCCGGCTAACCTGTAAGTATCATAATCCCTTCTTGATTTCGGCTTCCCCTAGCTTCCGCTTCATATGTTTTTTCATTCACTTATTATTTTGTTAATATAAAGTTTGGTCCATTATTTTATAGAAACTTGTTCAGAAGCTTTTCTAAAGGAAACAACTCGTAAGCTTTTAACTTATTCCTAACTTATTTGGCAAGAACTTTGAGGAGCTTCCATATATTTTAATTCACTTTTATATTGCATAACTTTGCTTCTTAACCTTTTCTCATACTACATCAATTTAGAGAATTGGGGAAGTGCTTCAAGCAAAATTATCTTCTTTGTTCAGAAGGTAAGTATATATTATTCTGAATTACAATTGATGATTATGCTTAAAATTATATTTTAGATACATCTTCAAGCCTTATCTGTTGATACTTAAACAAGGTGCAAGTTCAATAGGTCGACCTTTCATGTTTTATAGGAAAGGATTTTCATTAAATGTATATCTACATATATATAACATAGTTATTTTTTTTTTTTGTTTTCTTTTTCGATTTTTCTCTGTGGTCTTCCTTTAATGTTTCATCATTTTTTATTATGTTGCTTCTTTGGTGAAGACCAATATTCATTTCATATCAATTGTGGTGGAGCAAAAATTACCATTGGAAACACCATTTATGAAGCAGATGAAGACCAAGGAAATTCAGCAAAATTTGTTCCTAAAGGAGTAAATTGGGGAACTAGTATCAGTGGAGACTTCTGGGAACGTGAATTAGATAAGGATTACATTGCAGAAAATGTATCTGTCTTGAGAATGAAAGACTCTGAATTGTACACAAGGGCTCGCCTGTCTCCTCTATCTCTCACTTATTATGGGCGTTGCTTGGCAAATGGGAAATATACTGTTACACTCCACTTTGCAGAGATAATTTTTAGAGAGAACCAATCTTTTCAGAGTCTTGGAAGACGGATGTTTGATATTTATATACAGGTAGTTAATAACATTATAACTGCAATTTTAGTATGCAATGCAACTATGATTGATTAAATTAGTTTGTTACAGGATGAGCTAGTTTTGAAGGATTTTGATATTGAACATGAAGCACAAGGGGTTGATAAGGTGTGTATAAAGAAATGGAAAGCAATTGTGAAGGATAAAACTATAGAGATTCGCTTTCATTGGGCTGGGAAAGGAACAACAAAAGTCCCTTTTAGTGGAAGCTACGGTACTCTCGTATCAGCTATTTCTGTGGCATCTGGTAAGTAGTGCTGTGTGAAGACTTTACTAATCTTTCTTATAGCTCTTTCTCTCTGTGGGTAGGTAAGACACATACGCTATTAAGAAAAGGTGAAAATTTTAAATTAGGCTAATTTGAAACTTCAGAGAACACAAAATATTCACTGCCTATTTTCTTCTCCTAGAGTTTTATATTTGTTTGAGTTATCGAATAAAATTTTATCATTAGAATTTCAAATATTTTGATTGTTCAGGCTGCATACAAAACTGTGTGCAATTTAACAGTCTATGTTATCTGCTTTTGTTTTGTATAGACAACCCTCCTGATGGCAAAAAGAAGATATCCATTATAGTTGGAGCTGTGGCTTCAGCATTATGCCTCATTCTCATAGTTTTTGGTATTGTTTGGTGGAAAGGCTTTTTTGGGAACAGAACCTCAAGGGAACAAGGTGGTGTAATCTACTCAACGAACTTTGTTTTGGAATGGATAACCAGAAACTTTTCAATATTCTATTCTATTGAGATGACCTCGAAACACTGTATGACAGATTAGAATAGTTCTTATGAGTATTTTAGAAGGTGCAGATTATTACTGATCAATTTAAAGTATGATACAAATAAACTCACATTTTATTTGTAGACTGCTACCATTATCCAAATTAGGGAGTTCATAAATTTATAATAAAATTTAGAACAAATCTGGCTTCTAATTTCTCAAGCCCACTTGAGCCTGCGCTTTACTGATTAGTAGTCTTTCTTGGATCCTAAAATGTCCATGTCTTATATATGCAGTAGTAATAACAAATAGACATATCTCAAATTCTGAGGAAAAGGAATGGTATATGGTTCTTTTTCAATTTCTGATTATCTTGAAAATTCAAGTTGTGTTCTGACTCCTTAGTGAGTCAGAAATCATTCTTTCTGCTCTATATGATAACTAACAAATATAGAATAGGCTGAGGTTTCTGTGGTGCTGTTGGTTACAGATATTATTTCTTTCCTACAACTTTTCTGCAATCAAAGAAGACATTAGCTTTTCTAAATGCGTATCTTGATCTCATTCTTTCAAAATTTTGCCCTTTTAATCAAGATGCACTTGTATATTCAGCTAAAAGCAAAATTAATACTTTGTAAGATGCAATTCAACATCTTAACCTTGTTCTTCTACAGATTTGAGAGGATTAGACCTGCAAACTTGTTTATTTACCTTTAGACAAATTAAAGCCGCCACTAACAACTTTGATGTTGCAAACAAGATAGGAGAAGGTGGTTTTGGATCTGTCTACAAGGTATATATTGAGCCCTTTTTTTTTTCCTGTGTTTTTGTGCTTGTTTAAAGCCTTTTATTTGTGTGGTTATGGCATTTGGAGAACAATTTACATCTTAAAGGCTACTCACTTCTATTACATTTTCAGGGTATACTACTGGATGGTACTGTAATTGCAGTTAAGCAACTTTCTTCCCGATCAAATCAAGGAAATCGTGAATTTGTGAATGAAATAGGCATGATTTCTGGTTTACAGCACCCTAATCTTGCAAGATTGTATGGATGTTGTATTGAACGTAGTCAATTACTATTGGTATATGAATACATGGAGAACAATAGCCTCGCCAGTGCTTTGTTTGGTAAGTTAACCGTTTTTATTTCATCATGCATGCTATGTTAATTAGACTGAATAAGAGTGAGTAACCAAACAATATGACAACTATTAACCAACAATCAATGCGGTAGATGTACTTTGATTGCGCTATCAATGTTAACAGCAGGTCCAGTGGAGGGGCAATTGAAATTGGACTGGCCTTCAAGGCAAAGAATTTGTATTGGCATTGCAAAAGGCCTAGCTTTCCTGCATGAGGAATCTACACTGAAAATTGTTCATAGAGACATCAAGGCTACCAATGTATTGCTTGATAGGGATCTTAACCCTAAAATCTCCGACTTTGGTTTGGCCAAGCTTCACGAAGAGAATTCCCACATTAACACCAGAATTGCTGGAACCATGTGAGTTTCCAATCCACTCTTTCCTTCAAGATTACTCTAACATTGTTGCATTTTCATAGAAATGTGCATCTTAAATTGCCTGCTAAAAATTGACATCAATTATATTAGTTCGTCTCTGAATACTATGTGAGAACATGAATATGAACGGTGTTGGCTGAAATTACATGGTTGAGTTGCAGTCCTAGAAGTAACCAAAATAGGGCAGCTTTCAAAATCTTTTCAGATTGACAAGTTTATTTCGGTTTCTGCATTAAGCAGTGCTACCATACTTGTGAAAAGGTTGTTCACTGCATATGCCATTCTTTAATGATTTTCATTTTTTGAGAACTAGTTCATACAGTAATGTTGAACAATGGGTGATGGTCATCTATATCTTGATAATCAACCATGCAAATTTCATGTAACTTTGACGGAGGATGGGCTCTTTGCTTCATAATAGAGGGTATCACATTTGAATGATACATGAATAGCAATTCAGGTCACATTGGATAAAGTAGAAAGATCAACGAACCCCACCATACCCATACCAATATCTAACTGTTTGTGTGTTTGGCTTGGTTGTGTACCCACTCAAAGTGTATGTCGTCTTCTATTTTTTTTCTTCTGCTGAGAGTTTTTTGCTACAAATCATTATGTTCCTATGGTTTAAGTTGTTCATTTCATTTTTTTTTTTTTTTTTTTGAAATCTCGATAACATTATGAAGTTAAGATTCCTTTTATTGTGACAAAATCTATTAATTTTAATTTGCTCATGTACGATGAACTAATGAACTTTTCACCATATTTTGATGACGTTATGTGATATTGTGGCTCGAATTTGGTGCCGGGTCGCGTTGCGTCCTATTTATGACCCGAGGGAAAACTTTGACCAATTTTTTGCTCATGGGTCGTGGACCCTAATTATTCTCTTGTAGCTCGATATTTAAGGGCGCTTAGGGTTTGGAGTGGAGGATAAGAGAAACTCTGAAATTCGTACAGAAACAGAGTGGGGCTAAAAACTTGTAATCTTCAATTTTACACATAGTGAAAACTTTCGCCACATACCAACCGTGGACGGCTGTTGCCGAACCACGTATAAATCTTTGTGTTCTTTGTGGGGCGTATTTACTTTTCTGTCGTGATTCTTGATTCAACTTAGGTTCGTTACGTTTGTCATAACACCTTATAAATTTCATGACTGATTTCCCAACTGCCAGTAGAAGTATTTTGCCACTTCAATTGTCATATTTGTTGTACATAAAACCTCATACTAGTAAAATAGAAGTAACAGAACAATCTTTGTTGTGCAGAGGGTACATGGCACCAGAATATGCATTATGGGGTTACTTGACCGACAAAGCAGATGTCTATAGCTTTGGAGTTGTTGCATTGGAGATTGTTGTTGGAAAGAAAAACGTGAAATATCATCCCAATGAGAACTATGCATGTCTTCTTGATTGGGTAAGAATTTCGGCTACTTCTTTGAATGCATTCGATTAGCAGTTTAAAAAACCAGTTTGCTTGCTTTGGGACCTATCCATTTGGCTTAGTCAGCTTGCTTTGATTAATTTCAAACAGGGTAGGAAGCTGTCTGAATTGGTTGTACTAGGGCTAGTTGGGTAGTTTGATTTCCTTATAGGGTTCTAAACTATGTTACATGTGTTGAGAGTTTGTGCGCAGCAGAATGGTTGTGGAATATAATATGGATAGATAATCTAGAGAGATGGTAAATAGATTTTACTTACTCTTTTATCCAATTTTTACTTATTTTAATTTTACCGAAATAAAACTAAAATCAAACCACAAAGCAAAAATAAAGTGCAAGTAAAGTAAATAGAGTTTGAGATATGACACCAGGATTTTATCTTAGAAACCCCAATTGGTAGAATAAACCAATTGTAACAGGAAAAACCTCGTTGGACTTTGCAATCCTGAGATAAATGATCCATTATGTTTGAAGCAAAGTATACCGAACTTTGACTTAGTCTCACACTCTATCATTCTATCAAAAACCAATTGCTGACGATCCCCGACTTTACGACTCCCCCGTCCAACAATTCTCGACCTCAGGCTTACTCTTGATCTCTGTAGAAGAGTTGCAGGTAGATCAGACAACACTCCACGAATGCTCTGACCCCTTCAAAGTGTGATCGCTTTACCCATTTTCTTCTAGATCTGAATTTGATGAAGAATGAATGAGTTATGCTTTTTCAGAATTTCTGAATCTTTGATTATGCTCCAATTCCGATGAAATAGAGAACAACACTTCTAAATCACTCGTATTTATGTGTGCTCTCAAAAATAAAATCAAAAAAATCAGATTGATTTTCTGAATAAAAATCTCTCTTAAAGATGGCTCTCTAATAGATCTAAATTTTGTATGCAAAAGTCGTGTATAAATCTATGTGTATGACAAGGTTTATATAGAGTTTTGAATGTCCTAATCCCTCTGAAAATATAGAAAATTTTGTGTATAGGACTTGGAAGGAAGTTTGGTCCAAAAAGGAATCAAACAGATAAGGAAATTGAAGTTCTATACTGATCAGGACTTCTTGAACCAGTACTAGAATGTGGCTACCAGTTCCAGAAGGTCAGAAGGCTTTCCAACGCACTCTTGCTACTGTTTCAGCCTTTGGCTACCAGTACCAAGAAGTTCCTACCGGTTCCAAATGGACAGAAGTGAATCTACTATTTTCCTACCAGTACTAGATTGTGGTTACCAGTACCAAAAAGATAGAAGTAAATTTCCCGCCAGTACTAGATTTTGGTTGCCAGTACCAAAAAGACAATGTAAATTTCCTTAACACTTCAAACTTCTAAAAATTTCCTAAGTGTTTTCATTCACTCACATACCTTTCTAAAGCATTGTTCTCATCATCTCGGAGTGTAGTAAATCATGAACACTTGAACTTCTTCAAATCCACATTCGATCTTCAACCTTGAAATTCTGAACCGAACTTTTACAACTCGATCGGATCGACTTGTTTTGACAACGAAATTTGCCAATATACAATATATATTTTTCATAATCTCCCCAAAATATACATTTCACAACATGGACTCTTTAAAGGTAAGTGAAGTATTCGTGTCAGACGCACAATACTTGGACACGCGGGATATTTGTCGGACACTTTTGATTGGACATACACCTAAAAAACATTTTCAGTGATTCAACGTTATTATATTATTGCTTCAAAACGAGTGGAATGCCTATATTAAACACCATGATACCTAAAGATGTGATTGATTATACTCTAGAAATAAAATGAAAAACACTAAAAAATATAAATATTTAGCAATGTCCATGTATCCTTAGTCCAGGGACTTGACACGTCCGACGCATGGATACATACCCACCCCTGACACACGTACCCGAGTCCTTGTAACACAAGTTCCAAATATTGATTTGGAAATCACTCTACTTTCGCTGAAATGAAAGGAATTGTTGATATCTGATAGTTACTTATAAATGTGTCTGACTCAGAAATTTAACAAATGAAGAGGATGAATTTAGTCATATTTGGAGTTCAAAAATTGCAGAAAACCAAACTAATTTCTTAATTTAAATATTCATCCAATTATAGATATCGCTTGTATGAGTCATGCTTAATACACTTGTTAGTCTATAGTGACATTACCCAGTGACTGGCTTCTGTTTTTATTCCATTTCCTCCTTGTGCTTATTTCAGGCCTTTGTTTTACAACAAAAAGGAAGTGTAATGGAGTTGGTGGATCAAAAACTGGGTTCCAATTATAACAAAGAAGAGGTATCAAGAATGATCCAAGTAGCACTATTATGCACTAATCCATCTCCAGAACATAGGCCTACCATGTCTGCAGTAGTAAGCATGCTTGAGGGTCGTATCGAGGTTCAGAATATAATCGCAGATCCAAATATCTATGGTGATGATTTAAAGTTCAAATCTCTGAGAGACAGGTATGGTGAGCTGCAACTCCAGAGCTCAAGTGACACTCAGACCTTGTTTGATTTGTCCGAAGCAACACGAAATGGATCTTCGTCCACATCTGCCCAGGATCTCCATTGAGTCGATTTTACTTCTCCATCCTACACACAAACAATGTAGTTCTAATCTCTGTAGAAGCAAATATCCAAGTGTAAATGTTTTGAGCGTGTAATTTGAATAAACATAGTCGTAGCTATGATCTCATTGCATGACTATAGTGTAATGCTCTGCTTGATCATACATTTATTGGTTGCTTATAATTAGACTATCAAAATCTGTGTAATAATAAGATGGCAAATCTATAATTTGAGAATAAATGTTCGACCATATTGCCATTACATGACAGACTAAGTAAGAATGTTTTAATATATCTATTAACTTAGTACTAATTGCGTCCATGGTATTATATTGCAAGAGCAGTTTAGAAAGTGCCGAAAAAACATAACTACAGTAACTAACTATCAAGTTTTACTCGGAAGCTGCATACCATAAAATATGCTCAGCTTGTTTGGTCTTAAACCAATATTAAATTTAAATACAAACAAATAAAACACAATAAATCTTCTCTGATGTCGATCGAATTCATTCTTTAGAGTGGCCGACACACATAGAAGAACCTAATCCATTGCATTCAGCATTTTAAATATATCCGATCACTGTCGTGATTTAAACATACAAGCTGTAGGCCATAATATATATATATATATATATATATATATATATATATTTGACCCAATGCAATGCCTTTTATTATTATTATTATTTTTTGGGTGAGGGAGACACGTGATGTTTTGTTATGACGGTGCATAACAAAAATATATATTTTTCCTATATTGTAGGCAGAATATGTTAATACAGCCTTGTCAGTACAATATATATATATATATAATTCGTCCCCTGCGAATGCCAACATTAAAAGAAATTCTACATAAGTTTGTTATACAACATCTTAAAGCTCATCAACAATTGCATATTAAGAAAATTAGCTGCTTAAACCCCAGCCTGCCAAAGAAAGAAAAAACAATGGGCTCTGAAGCTCTTCTTCCTGTGATAGATTTGTCAGAGCTAAAGCCGGGCACACCTGAGTGGGACTCGGTGAGACCCCGGGTTGAGCAAGCACTCCAAGAATATGGTTGCTTCCAGGCTTTGTTCAACAAAGTTCCTTTTGAGCTTCGAAAATCGATGCTTGGTGCAATGGAAGAGATCTTTGAACTTCCTTTGCAAACAAAATCAAGATTTTTTTGTGCTAAGACGCCCTTCGGTGGCTACACTGCGCACTCACCAACAACACCGTGGGAGAGCATGAATATTGGTAATGTACACATCCCCGACAATCTCACAAGCTTCACTAATCTCTTGTGGCCAGAAGGAAACCCAAGCTCTTGGTAGTAAATTTATTTATTTATTTTGTTGTAAGTTATCTTATGTTACTTTTCTTATTAAATTCTTCGATAACTGTTTTTAGAAAATTGAACTAAAACGAACATTACTTTTGAGCAAATACTGTTCTTTTGGCAGCAAAATTCTACGGTCCTACACAGAGCAACTGTCTGAATTGGATCAAACAATTAGGAGGATGGTTCTGGAGAGCTTTGGTGTTGATCAGAAATACTGTGATGAACACATAGATTTAAGCCGATACACTCTTCGAGTCATGAAGTATGAAGGTCCCGAAACAATGGAGAGCAAGCTTTTGTTGAGACCCCACAGTGATAAGAACCTTTTGGGCATATTGTATCAGCTTAACGAGGTACATGGGTTAGAGGTGCAAAGCAAAGACGGGAAGTGGATCAATGTGAAACCCTTGCCGGACTCTTTCATCGTCATGGCCGGAGATTCTTTCCACGTTAGTTTCTTCACTTCATCCCCTTGCATATATTTATTTTAATATGGGAAGACAGAGAAAAAAGAAACCAGTAATTGAAACTTTCCGAAAAACAAAACAAAAAATCAAATATGGGTGTTTTCTTAAAGCAACTCTCCAGATACTCCTACTATAAGCTAGCCAAAAGAAATTTTAACTTCTTTTTAAGTTTTTTGTCATTAGAAAACTGAAAATTCAGTGAAACATGTCCATAACTTAAAGCCTTATGAAATAATCTAGCTTGGTCAAATCTCTTGGAGTTGATGTTATATATAATTAACCAGAGTCACCGAACTCATTTTGGTCTTAGGCTCAACTCGTCAATTGACCAAGTTTAAAATTAAACACTGTTTCAAAACGAAAAAGAAAATTGAATAAAGGTCGTTGATAAATGTCAAGCAAATTTAAATGATGTATAAGAATGTATATATAGCATGCAAGTATTTAAGGCTCTTTTAGGTTCCACAATCATTCATGTATTGTTATTGTGACACACAAATATCAAATGATAGACTATAAATAAATTACAAAATTCATTTATGGCACCATGGACATTTCTTAGAACTTAAAATTTTACCAATTTGTAGGCATTGACTAATGGGCATGTGCATGCTCCGGTTCATCGGGTTGTGATGACTGAAAATGAAACGAGGTACTCAGTGGGGTTATTTTCGAGCCCAAAAGAAGGTCACATTGTGAAAGTCCCAGACGAGCTAGTGAATGAAGAACACCCATTACGCTTTAAGCCCTTTGAATATATGGAGTATCTCAAATTCTTCGCAACAGAAAAAGGACAGAAATCTCATGAATGCGGCATAAAGGTTTTTTGTGGTATTTGAGATGAATCCGAATCTTTTCCGGTAACGATTTCATATTACTCCTTACAGTTGATGACTTTCACCACTATCAATGTTGAATTTCACTATTATAATAGCAAATGTTTTTTTGTTCAAAAAATTTATAATGGTGAAATTGCACATATAAGCAAATATGTACATAACATATAAAATTTCACAATTATAATAGTAAAATTCACCGTCAATAGTAATAAAGAAAACCAATGGCTGAGAACAACGGAAATCAATACAGGAAATTAAAAGCTTTTGATTCGTTTGGGATTGGCCTAAGGTTAAGGAACAACTACTCAAAGTCTAATTTTCCTCTGCTTTATAAATATGAATAAGGTGTATTTGTTTCTTTTATGCTGTTTGATTGATCGAGTGTATTGACTATCATGGCTTGTCAGGATTAAATTAACACGTCTGCTTGGAACAAACATATTACTTCGGTAATAATAAACCCCAACATTTACGAAAATGATAAGCCTTTTTGAATCTGCATAATTAATTTGAGCAATGCTGTATTACTTAAAATTTTAAGCTATATAATTAAATAATGTGATTAGTAGATTACGAATGAATATCTTCACACGAAATTGACATTATGAACTCAATTTTGAATGTCAATTGATTACTTAGGTTAAAATTTTCACTCCCAAATTTCTATATATTATGTTTGTGAATACTAAATCGGTGACTTGAATGTGTTTCTAATTTCAAATTACAAATTCACCAAACATAACAATAGAAAATTTCCATTTAATTGCATGTAGAGCCAGCTGCCACTAGAAGTCTAGAAGACCCATCTACTTTTGTACTGTTCAAAGTCCATTTCTTCTTTCACTGAACCTAATGATCAAACAAACCGCTGAACATAAGTAAGCCTGAATTCTTAAACATCACATATTGTAGATAAAAGTATGCATGTTTTGAGCCGACCTAGCTACTGACCTACGTACCCATAAATCAATTCCCATATATGGTTGGATCTGGTCCAAAAGGCTAGTTTAAGGCATCTTCTTAATTTTTCAACGTGCAACAACTTTTGTAACACAAAATGTGGGAATGGTTTTTATTAGGGTAAATTACATTGATTTCTCTTCTATTTTTTCTTTATTTATTCTTACATCTACACTTTTTTGTTTGTATCGATGTAGGTTATCTATAGAGTGCCAATCCAACACAAATACTTCTTTTTTATTTTAATATTATTCAAATTTCTAAGGTTTGGATAAATTACACATGGATAGAGCGTTTGACCTTTATTATTTTGACCTCCTTTGAGATTTGGCGCTTTAACCTCTTCTAAAATTTGACATCTGAAATTTGGCGCATGTGCTCAACGACATTCCTACCATTAATTAAAATTAAAAAATAATTAAGTTGACATTCCCTTGTGTTAAAAGATTTCAATAACTTTATATTTTGACATAAAAAGACAAAAATATTTATTAAATGTCATTGAAATGTAAAATATTAATTTTCATACAAATTTATATTATTAAATTTTACAAAAATATTTTATTATTATTATTTTTTTATTAATAACATTTGATTAGGTTTTTTTTAGGGTTTGATAAAATAAGCTCAGCTTTGCTTGAGCTTAAATATTATATTTAAATACAAACAAATAAAACACAATAAATCTGATGTGACGTCGTGAATTCCTTGTCTAGAGTGGCCGACACACATATAAAAGAACCTAATCATAGCTTTCAGCATTTTAAATCTAATCTGATCCACAGTCATGATTTAAACATGCAAGCTATAGACAGACCATAAATATAGTAATATATACAGTACGTCCCAATGTGATGTTTTCTTGTTCCTTTTGTTTTTAAATTTGGTGAGGGAGACAATCTGATGTTTCGTTGTGACGGTGCATAACAAAAAAATATATCTTTCCTATATGTATTGTTTGCAGAGTTTGTTAATCCTTATCAGTACAAGATAACAATATATATAATTTGTTCCCATGCAACATTGAGCATAATTAGAAATTCTATATAAATCTGCTATAGAACATCTTAAAGCTCATCAACAATTAATTGCATACTAAGAAAATAATGGGCTCTGAAGCTCTTATTCCTATCATAAATTTCTCAGATGAGCTAAAAGCTAGCCACTCCTGAGCAGGCAGGGACCTAACATAAGACTAGTAGGGGCGAATGCGCCTACTAAATTTTTTATATTTTTATTTTATACCTCAAATTTTTTGAAATTTATGAAAATGTCCTCTCTAAAATTATAATTCATCCTCACTAAATTTATTTATTTTATTTATTTTTTTACTACTTCAAATTTTGAGAATATTTGAAGATGCCCCCACTAATATACAATTCGCTCCCATTGATTTTTTTTTTTTTTTTTTTTTTTTTTTTTTGACTCACTATGCCCCCATAAATTAAAAGACCACCCCGCTCACAAAATTTTTTTGGTGCTTCCTTGCTCTTGAGTGGGACTCCGTGAGAGCCCGCGTTCAGCAAGAACTCCAGGAATATGGTTGCTTCGAGGCTGTGTTCAACAAAGTCCCTCCTGAGCTTCGAAAATCCATGTTTGGTGCAATTGAAGATATCTTGGAACTTCCTCAGGAATGTTCTTTACTAAAATGCCCTTCGGTTGCTACACTGGGCAGTCAGAGAAAACACCATGGGAGAGCATGAATATCGAAGATGTACTCAGCCCCGAAAATCTCGAAAGTTTCATTAATCTCTTGTGGCCAGAAGGAAACCCTAGCTTTGGGTGCGTAAATTTAATTAGTTTTCGTTGTTGTTAGTTAGTTAGTCATTTTTATGCTGTTCCCTTTTGTTGAAAACAAAATTCAGTTAAATTTTTTTTTTTTTTTAAAGTTCTTAATAACTGTTTTAATATAATTGAACCAAAAAATTTAACTAATTAAGAAGATTGATTACTTTTGAGCACAACTCTTCATTTGGCAGCAAAACAGTAGGGTCCTTCTCAGAGCAACTATCTGAATTAGATCAAATGATTAAGAGGATGGTTTTGGAGAGCATAGATTGGTCCCAAGACAATCTTCGGGTCATGAAGTATGTAGGTCCCGAAAATAAGGAGAACAAGATTATGCTGATGACCCACACTGATAAGAACCTTTTGACCCATATTGTATCAGATTAATCAGGTATGTGGGTTAGAGGTACAAAGCAGAGACGGGAAATGGATCAATGTGAAAACCTCGCCGGATTCTTTCATCGTCATGCCCGGAGATTCTTTTCACGTTAGTTTATTCACTTGTTCCCCTTGCATTTATTTATTTATTTAATATGGGAAGATATAAAAAAGAAACAACTAAATATTAATTAACAATCACCAAAAAAAAAGAAAAAAAAAAGAAAAATGTTTCAAATAAGGGTGTTTTCTGAAAAAAATTCTTCAATGCTATCTTGTATACTAGATCATTTTTTGGGCCTCCCTCTTTGTACATATTTCTTGAAATTCATAAAAAGAATACGAGAATTAAAAATATATTCAATCTTTTCATTGATGGTGTTACATCCAATTTATAGAATAGGACCTAGCTAAAATAGGTAATTAATTACCTACCAATTAGCCTTAAATCAAGGAGAAAATAATTCAATACTACAGCTGTACAATAAGAGATAAAATCTCAACACTCCCTCTCAAGTTGGTGTATAGATGTCACACATGCCCAACTTGTTTAAATTTTTTGAAAACACTTGATTTGAGACTGCTTTGGTGAGAATGTCAGCTAGTTAATTCTCAGATCGAATCTTATGTAACTCTACAATTTTCCCATCCAACTTCTTCTTAATAAAAAATCTGTCTATTTTGACATGCTTCGTACGATCATGTTGAACTGGATTATGGGCAATATCATATGCTGCTTTATTGTCACAATAGAGCCGAATAGGTTGCCCAGGTAGATAACCCAAATCCCGCAAGGGAAATCTTAACCACAATGTTTCACAAAGTGCAAGCGCCATACCTCTGAATTCAGTTTCTGCACTCGAGCGAGCAACAACATTTTGTTTCTTCTCCATGTAATAAGATTACCTCCTACAAAAATAAAGTAACCAGAAGTAGATCGCTTATCATCTATAGCTCCAGCTCAATCAGCATCAGTATATGCATCTATGTTTCGATGACCAGCATTTTTAGTGAACAAAATTTCTTTTCCAAGAGTATATTTCAAATACCTTAAAATGCACATAACTGCATTCATATGCTGCTTTCCAGGATCATGCATAAACTGGCTAACAATGCTTAATGCATAAGCCAGATTTGGTCTCGTGTGTGCTAAATACATCAATCTCCCTACAAGTCTTTGGTATCTTCTTTTATTAGTAGGTACTTGGTTGGACTCAATACATAACTTCAGTCATTTTTCCACTGGTGTCTCAGCTGGTTGACATGCTGTCATGCCAGGCTTTTGTAATAGATCTAAGGCATATTTTCTTTGAGATAGAAAGATTCCTTTATTAGATTGAGATACTTCGATCCCAAGAAAATATCTCAAAATCCTAGATCTTTCATTTCGAATTCTCTTGACAAGTACTTCTTGAGAGCCTTCATTTTTTCAGGATCATTCCCTGTAACCACCATGTCATCTACATATACAATGAGTGCAGTAATCTTACCCTGTTGCTTCTTCAGAAATAACGTGTGGTCTGAATTGCTCTGACGGTAGCCAAATGCTATTATAGACTTTGTGAATTTTCCAAACCATGCTCTTCGAGATTGTTTTAACCCATATAATGATTTCTTAAACCTGCAGACCTTTCGACTATACTTTTCGGGTATCATGCATCCTGGTGGGAGATCCATGTAGACTACTTCAGATAATTCACCATGCAGAAAGGCATTCTTCACATCGAATTGTTGCAATGGCCAATCCAAGTTCGCAACTAAAGACAACAAGACACGAACTGTGTTTATTTTGGCTATAGGTGCGAACGTCTCTGTATAATCGATTCCATAGGTTTGAGTGTAGCCTTTTTCCACCAATCTTGCTTTAAAGCGTTTAACTGTGCCATCTGCTTTATACTTCACAATGTAAATCCATCGACATCCAACTGGTTTCTTTCCTGGTGGAGGATCAATGAGTTCCCAAGTTTCATTTTTTTTTGCAAGGATTTCAATTCCTCGTTCATAGCTGCATTCCACCTAGGGTCAGCTAAGGCTTCCTGCACATTGATAGGAATAGATATAGTAGATAATTGATTTACAGATGATAAATTTGATCTTGACAAATGATAGTTCGACACATTATTGCTCATGGGATACTTAACTTTAC